GTGTGGTGCACTCCCTATGCCCGAAGTGATAGGCCGTAGTGGGATGCCAGGTTTGTGTGTCTTAGGAAGGCCATACAGACGTGCTGGTTTCGGTTGACCTGGTAAAAGTTTAAGTAGTTTTTTGCCTTGTTCTGATTTTCGTAAGATGCTACGAGCCTTTTGAAGAAAAGTCTGGGTACTTTGAAGTAGCACTGATTCCGATACAGGCTGGTATGTGTTGGCATCGTTGAGAAGATTTAAGACAATTGTTGTAGTCGACAGTGTTGAGTAACACCACACCACCTCCTTTGTCGGCGGTTGTAATGACGATATCATCGTTGTTGGCCAAGTCCCTGAGTGCTTGGATGTATCTTCTGGGAATGACCGGTCTTGAAGGCTGCTGCAGCTACTGAAGCTGCAGCAGTGATAATTCCTTGAACAAAGCCTTTTTGAAACTCGGAGCCTCCAAAAGGTTGGTTCTTGGTTACCATATCCACCAGATTATGTTTCTTGTTGATGCCAGTAGTAAACTTGAGCCCTAGGCTAAGGGCTTCTGTCTCGGTGACGGTTAGTGTATAGGAAGATAAGTTATTTATGATTTCTGGTCGTCCCATTTCGCTCCATTTGCTGTGGGAGCACAGGTCTTGTAGTTTTGGTGATAGCTTCAATTTCTGTTGGATGTTGGCAGTGGTAATTTGGCTGAGTATATATTCTGCAGTTCTTCTGTCAGGAGTAGGAAGTGAAGCACGAATCTGAGCGGCACGTAATGAGGTCTCCTTCTGAGCATGTCGCAGTTCATCAGAGCTTTCTCTAAGGTAGGCGTAAACAGCAGGAGAGAAAGGGTGTCTAGATGTGGTCAGTTGTCGAGGAGTGGACCGTGGTACCACCATCTCGGCAAGACAGTCTTCTAGGAAGATGTGTCGGTTCCGAAGACTATTAGCTTTGAGTAGGAGAGAAAGGTATTCTCTGTATGCTATGTCCATAGTGTGTTGCAGTGTCAGACGAGATGGTATAAACCTTATAAACTGTGCAGATCTCCCGACAGTGAAAAACTTCTCTTCAAAGTGTATAGAAAACCTACCAACAAGGACGATCTTATACACTTTTATTCACACCAAGACACCCGCACTAAGAGAGGAGTCCTCATTAGCTTCTTCTTGAGAGCTCTTCGCATCTCCAGCCCTTGTTTTCTAGAAGAAGAATGCACTTACATAACACAAGCCTTTACACGTCTTCAGTTCCCATCTTTCTTCATCCGAGATAGCAGACTTAAGGCACAAGCTATTCTCAACAAACCGCCCATGGAACAGCCCCCTAAGCAGTTCATAGTACTCCCATGTGGCGATGTTGCCACGAATACTCGCCGGGCACTTGCTATGAGTAACATCAACGTTTCCACCATAAACACATCATCTATCAAAGACCTCACTACGAAACGCAGCAACACACCTCTAACTTCTACAGCAGGCGTCTACACTATCCCCTGTGGGTTCTGTCCCAAGAAATATGTAGGCGAGACAGGCAGAGATCTTGCAGTCCGCTTGAATGAGCATCGAAATGCCTCTAACAGAGACGATGTAAGGTACGCCTGTGTCCTCCACAGAGACTCCACGGGACATTTGATGAACTGGAATGAGGCACAACTCGTTCTCACCGAACCAGACCTCAGATGCCGACGGTGCCTAGAAGCCTCACTAATCGCCGTCACCGACACTATAGAACGCAACACTGGAAACTACAAAATTTCAAAAACATTGGCATACATGATACTTAAGCACCACCAACCCAACAACACAGGAGTCACATGATTTCATCGTCTACCCGTCCTCATCATAGGCAGAGGATGTTTTGATAAGGACCTGCCTCGCATGGGCCAGTAGGCCTTCTACAGTGTTCCTCCATTCTTATGTTCTTATGGCATTCCACAGGTCACGTGCGTCACACCTCACTCTCCGCCTGTATATATAATCCCTTTCTACCTCTGTATGTTAGAAGTGATCAAGGTCCCAGGACCGAAACGTTTTCTAATAAATATGTCATAGTGTTTGCTTACGTGTCTTTCTAAACCAACTTGTCGGTATTTATTACCAAGGTTTATACCAATATATATATATATATATATATATATATATATATATATATATATATATATATATATATATATATATATATATATATATATATATATATATATATATATTTATTTTATTTATTTATTTACAAACATTATCTCTTAGTCCACAGCAGGACTCGAACCTGCAAACTCGGCATCAGAGTACACAGTACTTCATCCACAACGCTAGACTCCAAATTGTTCACTGCTTTTGGCGGGATTTGATCAAATAACTTTGAAGTCTCCTTGTTGCTGAGGTCTGTACGTTGCATATGCTAGTAAAAAGTTCTAGGGTTCATGTATAACCTATAGAATGTTTCCAGGTGATTAGATAAAGTAACATCGATGAACTGGGCACGTATACTTTCGCGAAAGCATCCGGCAACATCCTTGACTTTTACTGTCTCGTCACATCCATGAAGTATAACCGGCAGTTCCAGTAAAATTTAGCTATATCATGTCATCCTAAATTACCTCAACAACGGGGATGATATAAGGGCGATGAATGCTCACGAGACTTAAATACTGTAGTCAGGTGAGGCGAAGCAGGAGAAGGCGGGGTCATAGTGGTACCATCCACTAGTCGAAGTAGGTCTTCGTCCTAAGGTTGGACAAGTTGTGAAGAATTAATTCTGTGTATCAAGATCCCATGATGATGCAGTGCCTGACATATGGGAATCTTTATTTAGGAAACGTTTCGCCACACAGTGGCTTCATCAGTCCAATACAAAGCAGAAGGGTGTAAGGAGAGGAGGAGTTTGAGGTAATCAGTCCCTCAGCCTGGAGACGAAGACCTACTTCGACTAGTGGATGGTACCACTATGACCCCGCCTTCTCCTGCTTCGCCTCACCTGACTACAGTATATAAGCCACGTCTACGGCCCTGTGCTGTACATTCTTCACGAGACTGTCTGAGTTCTCCAACATTGGTAATGAAGCCATTAATGCTGGCACACAGGATGTTGATAGACTGACTCCTCATATTTTTGTTCAGCTTAATTAAATAGGTGTGTAAGGCAACTAACTATCCTTGAGATAGGATACCGGGGTAGCCACTGGAACGTAGCTCTGTGATCTTGAACAGGCATAAAACAACCTGCTGTGTTGTGGCAAGAGTAGCTGGGTGGGTGACTTGTGGGTTCACTAGTTCTGAGATCCTTTTATTTCGTTCATAGAATAAACCTCTAAAGAACTGGTGATTCATGCTGTCAAGTTTCTATTCTTTCCGACAGTTTTCTTCTTTATGTCCCATCTAGTGACATCAATAGCACCTGATATCTCCCAGACAGCTGTCAGGGGTGCACCCCCTCCGGTGATAGCAGGAACAATGCTTAGATGCCTGGGAGGTTGGTCTCCAATTTGTTGCTGACTCGGCAACTGATTTCTCTACAGCTGATAAGACTGATGATTATTTGCCTGGTGACCATCTTCTTAGGGTTGTGTTGGCGGGAGGTGAGATGATTGTGGGTGGTTACCTCTTTTTCTTCCACGTTATGGTCAGATATATCTCTGCTGATCGTTGTTTGGCCCGTCAGTGTCGGTCAGCCGATTGTTAATAATAATAATAATAATAATAATAATAATAATAATAATAATAATATCTTTATTTACTACTAGTACATGTACAAGGTATACAGGCCTAGCTGATATCAATGACATACCACTATACAGAAAACCCCTTGTTATGCTGAACATTTCGGGCAAATTAGGTTAGCTGTGTCCCAGGATGCGACCCACACTAGTCGACTAACACCCAGGTACCCATTTTACACTGATGAGTGAATAGGGACAACAGGTGTCTTATGGAAACACGTCCCTAATGTTTTCCAGCTGTACCGGAGAAGATTCGAACCCCGGACTTCAGTGTGTGAGGTGAGTGCGCTAGCGATCGAGCTACGGGACACAACATCAATCACTTGTGGAGAAGAACTTGCGGGGCTGGCAGATGGAGCGCTGATGTCAGGTGTACTGGTAGGTGTTGGAACAATGATGTCAGGTTTACTATTAGTTGTAGGAGTGGAGTTGGCACATCCAAGACTTGCTTCGTTGTTGGGTAATGGAACTGTTCCCTCTGCGGCGGCCTAAGAAGTTGTAACGGAATTTTCAGGTACAGTGGTTTGAGCTCTACCTGTAGAGCTCTTGTGCTAACAGATTCTCCCCAGTGTTTTTCACTGTTGTGAGTAGGGTTTCGACACCTAAGTGAGGAGTCATTCACGACACTGTGCACCGTGTACGTCAGGCCCATACCGGAGTATACAGCACCGGTATGGAACCCACACCTGGTCAAGCTCGTCAAGATTTAGAAAAAGTGCAAATGTTTGCAATAAGACTAGTCCAGGAGCTAAGGGGTAGGTCCTATGAGAGGGTGAGGAGAGACAGGAGGGTGAGGGCAGGATATGATAACGACCGATGGAATATTGAGAAGAACTGACAAGGTGGACAGGAGAGAATTTTTCCGAGATGGGACACAACAACAATGGTACACAACTGGAAGTTGAAAACTCAGTCATAGGGATATTAGGATGTATTTCTTTAGTCTTGGAGTTGTCAGAAAGTAGATCAATATACAGAGTAAAGTAGTGCTGGAAGCCGGATCAATATATAGCTTTAAGAATAGGTACGATAAAGCTCATGGAGCAGGGAGAGATTAGACCAAATAGCGACCAGAGAAGAATCGAGACCAGGAGCTGCGAATCGACCCCCGCAATCACAACTGGATGTGCACATATAGGTGAATACAAATAGGTAAGTACACTTGCGATGAATCAGCGTTCCAATTTTTATGTTAACCCAATTACACCGAGAAATGGTTATTTTCATGAGCTTCAGTGGAAATTTTCAGCCAATTTTTAAGCTACGTGTTGATAAGGAAAGTTACCTGTGGTTTGCATGCTCCAGGCACAAAGTCTGTTCATGAAATAACAGTTCCGAGAAACGAGAACATTTACGATGGACTTGCACACATGACCTTGTGGTTGTCAGCGTCGCTCTCTGGAAGACTTTGAGCAAGAGTGCTATATAAGTGACTCCCGCTGGCGCTGCCTTCACACGCCTCACACCGCTGGCGCAGTCTTCACCACACGCCTCACACCGCCACAACAACATTATGCATCTGACTGTGAGTTGTGTAAAAGTGTTATAGTAAGCTCAGTCTTTCATTGATAATGTAAAAAAGAAAATCTGTCTATAAATTAATGTTTTGTGTAAATGGAACTTGTAAATAACAGTGACACATCTTCAAGTCTCAGGTGTTCATTTTCCCGAAAACCAGTGAGCTGATTATTTATGATAATGATAATAATAATAATAATCTATTATCATTATTTTTATTACTATTAAGAGGTTTAGCAAAGTTTATTATAATTACTAAAAAACTGATATGCAACTATTGCTACCATTTGCTAATAATAATAATAATAATAATAATAATAATAATAATAATAATAATAATAATAATAATAATAATAATAATATTTCTTGTACAGAGCATTGTTGGTGTGTTTGCCTGTGTGGCAACAGTGGTGGCCCAGTACTACCCCGACAACACTTACCTGTACCCCGAGAAGAGCCAAGTTACAAACAAGGGGTACCAGCAGTACCAAGCCCCGGGGGTCCTGGAGCCAGGCTACGGACAATCCGGCTCAAACGACAGAAACGTGGCCGCCATTCTCCAGGAAGTGGGTGACTTCTTCAAGCTGGTGGGGAATGGTCGCTCTGACGACCCAGAACGAAACAGCCAGGTGATGTCGGCGTTCGTGCCGTTTACCCGCAAGATTCTGGAGGCTGCAGCTGGAGTTGATGGCGCCAACGTCAGCAAAGAGAACCTGAAGAAGCTAAATGATGCCGAGGCTGTCATGCCCTCCGTCTTCACTTTCTTAGACAGTCTGAGGAGCATTAATTATGGAAACAACAAAGATTATCAGCAAAGTTATGGTCAATAATAAACAAGAACTGTCAACTAAAGTCTAACCTTCCGTTAATATAATTATGTTTATTGATACAGAAATCATAAAATTTATCAGAAACTTCTAGTGGACGATATTTCATGGTTATTCACACTCGAACAAAAAAAAAATAACTAATTATTATTAGCTACACTGAGCAATATGTAATAAAATAATTAAAATAAGTTAGTTTTTGTTTCCCAAGAATAACTAGAGGAAAACGAATCACGTGAGGCAGCTGCGTTATGTGTCTGCCAGTTAGTAACGTAATAATTATCCAAGGAAATTGTTCATATTTAAGGATTAATGTTATACTGATTTCTAATGAAATATTTGGGTGAAATTTATAGAATGTTTTGCTAAATGACATACCAGATATCCTCACTTTACACAGGTGTATTGTCGCGTCTTCTTAAAGAAAAAATGGGACGTCACCGGATTTTCTCGTTTTACTCGTTAACCGTTGTCTTTGGAATATGATAAAATAAGAACACTCACATTCCTCTCATTCTTCTTGTTCATTACCTTTGACCTACGCCATATTTTAATCATTTTTTTTAAGTTACAATGGTTAAATATAGGAAGATCATGAATGCTTTTTTTTTTTGTAGGATATTATTGGGGACTGATGCTACAAAACACATCAAAATGACAGCTAATCATAGACAAAGTGAAATAACTTAATCAGTGAAAACAAATGTACTGAAAATGGAAGATTGTATTTTATGTGACGGATGATCAACACTAATAAAGTGAAATTCGAAGGTGTAGAAAAGGGAATCATTATCATGATAAACAGAAGAACTCAGTCCTTGAAGGAACTTCACAGACTGTGTAGTGTCAGTGTTGGTATTACTACACTGTCAGTGTTGGTATTACTACACTGTCAGTATTGGTATTACTACACTGTCAGTATTGGTATTACTACACTGCCAGTGTTGGTATTACTACACTGTCAGTGTTGGTATTACTACACTGTCAGTGTTGGTATTACTACACTGTCAGTGTTGGTATTACTACACTGTCAGTGTTGGTATTACTACACTGTCAGTGTTGGTATTACTACACTGCCAGTGTTGGTATTACTACACTGTCAGTGTTGGTATTGCTACACTGTCAGTGTTGGTATTACTACACTGCCAGTGTTGGTATTGCTACACTGTCAGTGTTGGTATTACTACACTGTCAATATTGGTATTACTACACTGTCAGTGTTGGTATTGCTTCACTGTCAGTTGTGGTATTACTACATTGTCAGTGTTGGTATTACTACACTGTCAGTGTTGGTATTACTACACTGTCAGTGTTGGTATTACCCTGTCAGTGTTGGTATTACTACACTGTCAGTGGTGGTATTACTACACTGTCAGTGTTGGTATTACTACACTGTTAGTGTTTGTATTACTACCTGTACAGTGTTGGTATTACTACACTGTCTGTGGGTGGTATTACTACACTGTTAGTGTTGTATTACTACACTGTCAGTGGTGGTATTACTACACTGTCAGTGGTGGTATTACTACACTGTTAGTGTTGGTATTACTACACTGTCAGTGGTGGTATTACTACACTGTCAGTGTTGGTATTACTACACTGTTAGTGTTGGTATTACTACACTGTCAGTGGTGGTATTACTACACTGTCAGTGGTTAGTATTACTACACTGTCAGTGTTGGTATTACTACACTGTCAGTGTTGTATTACTACACTGTCAGTGTGGTATTACTACACTGTCAGTGGGTTTGGTATTACTACACTGTCAGTGTTGGTATTACTACACTGTCAGTGGTTGTATTACTACACTGTCAGTGTTGGTATTACTACACTGTCAGTGGTGGTATTACTACACTGTTAGTGTTTGTATTACTACACTGTCAGTGGTGGTATTACTACACTGTCAGTGTTGGTATTACTACACTGTTCAGTGTTGGTATTACTACACTGTCAGTGGTGGTATTACTACACTGTCAGTGTTGGTATTACTACACTGTCAGTGGTTGGTATTACTACACTGTTAGTGTTGTATTATACACTGTCAGTGGTTGGTATTACTACACTGTCAGTGGTGGTATTACTACACTGTCAGTGGTTGGTATTACTACACTGTCAGTGTTGGTATTACTACACTGTCAGTGTTGGTATTACTACACTGTCAGTGTTGATATTCTACACTGTCAGTGTTGGTATTACTACACTGTAGTGTTTGTATTACTACACTGTAGTGTTGTATTACTACACTGTCAGTGTTGGTATTACTACACTGTCAGTGTTGGTGTTACTACACTGTCAGTGTTGTATTGCTACACTGTCAGTGGCGGTATTACTACACTGTCAGTGGTGGTATTACTACACTGTCAGTGGTGGTATTACTACACTGTCAGTGGTGGTATTACTACACTGTCAGTGGTGGTATTACTACACTGTCAGTGGTGGTATTACTTCACTGTCAGTGTTGGTATTACTACACTGTCAGTGGTGGTATTACTTCACTGTCAGTGGTGGTATTACTACACTGTCAGTGGTGGTATTACTACACTGTTCTGTGGTGGTATTACTACACTGTCAGTGGTGGTATTACTACACTGTCAGTGGTGGTATTACTACACTGTCAGTGGTGGTATTACTACACTGTCAGTGGTGGTATTACTACACTGTTTAGTGGTTGGTATTACTTCACTGTCATGGTGGTATTACTACACTGTCAGTGGTGGTATTACTACACTGTCAGTGGTGGTATTACTACACTGTCAGTGGTGGTATTACTACACTGTCAGTGGTGGTATTACTACACTGTCAGTGGTGGTATTACTCACTGTCAGTGGTGGTATTACTCACTGTCAGTGGTGGTATTACTACACTGTTGTGGTGGTATTACTACACTGTATGGTGGTATTACTTCACTGTCAGTGATGGTATTACTACACTGTTAGTGTTGGTATTACTACACTGTCAGTGGTGGTATTACTACACTGTTAGTGTTGGTATTACTACACTGTCAGTGGTGGTATTACTACACTGTTAGTGTTGGTATTACTACACTGTCAGTGGTGGTATTACTACACTGTTAGTGTTGGTATTACTTCACTGTCAGTGGTGGTATTACTATAATGCTAAAGCTAGTGAAACTTTAGAGGATGCAAAACTGACTGTAGAAATAGAGACAAACTGATGAATACATTACTGTAGGGAGGAATATGCAAGGAAAGACACAAATAAAGATTGGACTACACTAAAGGGAAAATATAATCTGCAATCCTGGCATGTAGCTCAAAACTGTTTTTTTACATATTGAGAAATGCAATACAATCTCTGAAGAGCAGCTTGTACATAGAAGGTTAAAAAGTTCGGGGAGTTAGGAATTTAAGGAATTTAAGTATCAGATCATTTGAAGGAAACGGCAGTACTTGGAGAAAAGTTGTCGAACGTAAGGCTTGTTTAGCTGTGTAGCTAAAGCTATATGTCCCCAAAACTGTATATCATCTTGCTTGAGAGTATAACAGTAAATGAAGAAAAGGCAAGAGGACGACCACTAACAAAATATCTAAGTTGAGTATTTGCCGGACTGTGTTCTCTCAGGACAGTCCTGACTGCAAATTTTCTTTAAATGGGTTTATGTAGAACATGGAGGAAAATATACCAACAGACGAAATATGATAACAATATAATAGTTTCTGATGCTGCCCATAAATTTGATGTAATCTGTCTCCGTGGTACCAGAGACGCAGTTCTCACTCCTGGTGTGATTCATAATTCACATGAAAATGACGGAGAAAGTCAAATAATTGTTGTGTAAGCAGCCGTTGTTATAAGAGAAAATATAAGATCACTGGTGTGACACTGAAGAGAATCCACCACTAGAAAACCATACGAATTATATAAGAAAATTTATTCTTCTGGCTATTCAAGTATTTTTGAAATATGTTATCGAAAAGAGAAAAATAGTAGGCGCAGAAAATATTTTGGCCTCAGGTCCTGGTCTGTTTTGTTGCACATTCATATCGATCATAAAGTGAACATTTAACGAAAATTTTAATCTTTGGTGTCGGATATTTCGTCAAAATTTTAAGTTCGTGCCTCATTTAAATGAAATAATTTTATATAAAGCCTTTGATATTAGGTAGAAGACCTAAGAAATTATACAAGAAGGATTTTCCGTTTATTTTTTGTTTTGAACAACGACTAACGTACGAAGTGTTGATAAATAACTATAACAAGTTTCAATGAATGAGAGATAATGCATCATTTCTTCAAAATCGATAAGAATTGATACAATACAAAGGCATAAATCTATCTATTCTTTATAAAGTTCATTACTTCTGTTAACTAAATTTCAGTAGAGAAGCGACTGAATGTTAAATCTTTGAAAAAGATCTTGACGCCTCGCGCCCATCGTCAGAAAAAAAATGATTTTGAGTACAAATGACAAATGGATTTCTTAGAAATGACTGCATATGCCCATCTTCCTTACTTGAATGGGTTTATAGAGATAATCACTCGACGTTTTTTAAATTACACATCGCTAGTAAATACTTCTTAATCTTTGTCAACTTGCTGGCCAGTAGTTACGATAAACACAAGATAACATTTTTGCATCTAAATAGAAGTTGACTTTGCTACTTTCGTCCAGCCTTTAATGACAAGGGCTAAGGAGATTATATTTTCTTCTTTGATCCTATATAATGTAATAGAGATACTTGCATGTTAATAAGTGTTGATATGTTTTATGAGTGGAATAGAGCACTTCAAGGTAAGTAGAGACTTGATGCTAATTGATGCTGACAGGTTATAACGTTGCCAGGTGACACTCCTACTTCACTTTCACACGTGTCCTTAGACGTACACGAGTTGCCTCGCTCCCACTACAGTTTACCTGGAGAAGGTTTCGGGGCTCAACGCCCCCGCGGCTCGGTCTGAGACCAGGCCTCATCGTGGATCAGGGTTTGATCAACCAAGCTGTTACTGCTGGCCGCACGCAAGCTGACGTACGAACCACAGCCCGGTTAGTCAGGTACTGACTTTAGGTGCCTGTCCAGTGCCTTCTTAAAGACAGCCAGGGGTCTACTGGTAATCCCCCTTTATGTATGCTGGGAGGCAGTTGAACAGTCTTGGGCCCCTGACACTTATTGTGCTGTTTCTCAAGCGACACACTTACC